CACAAAAAAAAAAAAAAACCGTCGAAACGTTCTGAGTAAACTACGGATGATAATATGTAAACACTTAACATTTAACTTACCGTATTCGCTAACTCCAAGAAGTTGCTCGACCGAGACTGTCCTTTTGAATTCGCCACAGACATAATCTGCTGAAGAGTTGGGTCGCCGTTCAAATCATGTGCCCCGCTATCGATTTCCCAACTTTCTTTTCCACTCGTCTTGTCGTTCAGTTTCTTGGCGCTCATTTCGTCGCTTGAGTTATTTGCTGTCACCTTTGATTTCTCATTTCCTTTTATCACTTGCTGTCTAAGTTGCTCTAGTGAAACAAGTCCATCGTTTTCAGAACCTAGTTGAGCGATGATGTCTCTCACGCCGTTGTCCTCAAGTCCCAGTTGCTTACATGTTAGCGACAGATCAGGGCTGCGAACAATTCACAACAGACACAACATCAAGGTAAATAAACCCCCGGTAAGCCAGTGAAAGGGTCTTAGTGAGAGCGGTAAAATGATTAAACAAAATCTACTGTGACAAGTATAAAGGACAATGTTTTGCTGTTTTGTGCTGTGTCGGTTAATGTCACGTAAACCCAAAATGCATTGACCCGAAACCCGACCGCATAAACACGGGTTAGATGCGTGATTAACCTACAATTCTACAAGAATCTAAAGACTTTAAATCCTTCAGACATAACAGCATACCTCTCAAGGAAGCCGGTGACCCGTCCATCACTTGTATTCAGAATTTTACGAATACTGTCCTCCAAACTTTCACTCGACGCTCGTCTAGAACTGGCCGACGATATCGACAGACCATTTTCATTGTCGCTCATGCTACGAAGGCGATTTTTCTGGTTTGTCTAACTTAAAACTCTTCTTTGAATCTCTTGTAAACTTTAGAGAAAATTTTGCCACTTCAAACAAAACTATTCATACAGAAACACGGGAAATAAGAGCGAGAGGTATCAAATAAAATTTCTGCTAGTATAAAATAATGTTCTGAATGGCGAGATATCGGAAGCTGATTGGTTACCAAGCTTGCGACAGGTTTAGATATCTCTCCTTTCCGGGGTAGGTACAGGCAATGGCCAGGTGTATTTCCGTTATGAGCCAGGAAAGTCATCCTTTTACGATATGAAACTTTGAGAACGTCATTAACGTAGTATTTCTGATTATTCCGTGGAGTTTATGTGAAAAGAAACCCTCGTTATTGTTATTTTATAACAAAGGGTGATCCAAGGACGAATGATCTTCTCACCCTACCCTACACGACGATGTCTTAAGTGCCATAGCTTGCGTACAGGAAGTCAAGATATTTCCTTTCATTTCAAATACATTGTCTTTGGTCTTTTATAAATGGAATCAGGTGGTTCCTTCAGATAAGTTTCCTTTATCATTGATATTGCAGCAATTCAAACATTATTCCCGCAGTCCATGAAAAATAAACAAGCTAAAATATGAGGACCAAAGAAAGAAAATTCGTTTATTTACATTTTTGAAACTGGTCAGATAACACAAACCGCAAACAGATTGTTTGAATTTTTCTGAGGACTTAACACATTAAGAGAATTAAAGATTTTTAAAAATGTTTTGTTATTTCTTCTTCTTTAACACAGAGAAATGAGAAAATCTAAACAATTTTGAACTTATTTTAGAAGCTCAGGGTATAATTTCTGTTTTCAAAGGAAACAGAACTGAAAATAATGACTGGAGGATTAACTCAGTCGTTTGCCATTAACAGGTCATTATCTCCTACTAAAACGCTCTTGAAAGTAACCAGTTTATGATACATTTAACTTTATTAGTTACCTTAATGACATTTTTTGCCCTCAAAAATGGAAGTGATTAAAACCCTCGGTATTGAAACAACCCTTTATATCGCTGGGACCGTTCAGCTTAGCTTAAGCAATGCTCTCATCTTGTGTTGTTTATTTCCCTGCATTGAGCCTTTCCGTTTGGGTAAAAACTATTTTTAGCTTGTCTGGTTGTGACAAGTGGAAGGGTTTTTCTTTTAGGGGGACTTCATTAGAGAGAAACAGGGAAGCTGTCTAGTTTATAATATTAGAGCCGCCAAAGTTAATTTCAAAGAAGGTTCTTTTTATTTTCAACAGAAGAGGTTTGATTTCACGTTAAACTGCGACAATGATTGCTGGACACTTCGGAGGAAAAGGTCCAATTCTTATGTTCTTTAGTTAAGGCGGGGGTCTACCTGAATTTAAGTGAAATTTTAGGAAGTTTAACGAGGGATTAAAAGGAAAAAAACGGTTATGGAACACCACCAGACAGTTAAACGCCCCCGAAAGGGCACCCCAGGTTGGTGGACAACTGTTTGGTGTACGTCTACCAATTTTCAACTTCATATTCTAATTTTAAAACAACACCAAATCCCAGTCTTCAGAATTTCCTATTTCCATAAATTTGACTAATCCTTTGAGAAAATCTTTCTATGTCCAAATATATCCAAAAATCACCAAGAAACTTACAGAACAGCCCAAAACACAGATATGTGGGATGAGCAGAGAGATTTTTGACTGCTTGAAACGTGAACGATATTTGCGTTAAAACCATAATACCCAGCCAAAATACGGCCTTCATGTAGACCCCCGCCTTAAATATAGGCATTTGTGGTCAGCAAGAACACCCAAAGGTCTGTTTTTTCCAGAGTAACTGAAACTATACCAACAAGTGATATGTAAATATCTCTATCTCGAGGACTCCTTTTCGATATCTAGCAATTGCAAAAATTACGCAATTTCGAAGACTAGCCAGGGGGGGGGGGGACTGCAGCCTCCCTCCCCCGCCCCCAGCCCCCAACACCGTATGCTTATGACCAAATCCACCTGCTAAAACTTGTTGCTGAGAACGAGATATCTCGCAAGAACAGAAATTGAACTCTGTCATGACAGACTCTCGTGAAAGTAAAGGAGAGGTAGGCGCGATGAATGCAATATGCTCAAACTATCTATGAAATAAATTATCTATGAGATTAATTATCTATATATGAGATAAATTATCTGTGAGATAAATTATCTATTAAATAAATTTAATTAGAGTTCGCATGGAAATGAAACTGTAGTTATTAAACTAAATTTGATCTAGAAGTATTAAATGGCTTTATCGACTACTTGATATACCATCGTCTATCCCTGAATTCTAATAAACAGTTAGATTATGAGCTCGAGATTTCTAGCGCGTGATAATTGACTCGGGCTGCGCCCTCGTCAACTATCGTGCGATAGAAATCGAGAGCGAATAATCCAATTGTTCAAGTATAAATCTACTAGTCGTTCAAAACTAGATTTATACTAATAAGCAATTAGATTATGAGCTCGAGATTTCTATCACCGGATAGAAATCGAGAGCGAATAATCTAATTGTTTTAGTATAAATCTACTAGTCGTTCAAAACTTGACATAAATCGTCTTCACAGTTAAAAAGCGCACACTGTACGCTACTCACTATCTATCACAGAGTAGATAGTGAGTAGCGTAGCCATTCGTGATAGAACGCTAGTAGACTTATACTAATCCCTGTTAGGGTAGGATGAGAATTTGCTACGTGTTAGGAAAACTTTGTAGCCCAGCACGAAGACGCTCTTTGGTGTCGTCAGCAAGTTCAAGAAAGGTTAAATTATGTGGCAGCTTAGTTTCCTAACAATTCTGATAATGGCCGAAAATTGTGAACACTAAAAGTGATACTTTTGTTCCATTCTGGTAAACTTCCGTCTTCATTTGATTTAATTCAATTACATTAAATTGAAAACCTGTTCAAAACACAAGCATCCGTTTATGTTTAAACAAGTAAACTAGTGAAATTTACATAGTCCCGGCCTAAAGAGAGTTCCCGGATCTAAAGAGGGCTTTTGAAGTAAATTGACCATTAGCGCGCGAGCTTGAGTCACTTTGCTTCTGAGACTGGTCGTTTCCTCGCTTTTCTCTACTTATATTTTTAAAACCCTTACGTGTAATTATAGAGAGGTTAATTCGCCCACTTGGCTAGAAAAAAAACAGTATTTTTTCAGCCGTGCATTTGCTCTGAGCACGGAAATCTAGTGGAGAAATCGAGGTCATGCCGTAACAGTGTTTACACTGAATACTGTAATAAAAATGATGTAGCCAACGACTCAGTGTTGTTTACCAAAACGCAGAACATAATGCCCCCACGAAGCAAGGTCATTTGTTGAGCGGCTTACGGTTGATATTCATTTTAAACTTTTGTTATTTACGTAGCGATGGCAGAGCACGAAATAATGACGTCAATTTGCGCCCATAGGCTAACAGCTGGCTTGTTGGCATTACTGGCCTAGGCGGTCGAATCCATCTGGGTAAAGCAAATTCAGTTTAATTCTTTTTGTCTACAATTTGATGATTGCCTGCTCTTAAAAGAGTAGAGAAAGTTATCGGAGAAATGTGTTTGAACAAAAAAAAAAAAAACAGAAACCCGGATTAAAATTTAACCCCGGGTTAGCGCTAATCGGCCTTCGAGCAACCGGGCCCAGACTGATTTACTCTTGGCTACAAAAAAAATACAGAAAATATAGCAGACAGAATGCAAACAGAGAGTGAAGAAGGATTGAAAATTTACCATTGCCGAGAGAAAAACATATTTTTACCACAATTGCTACTAATCTCGCAATCTGATTGGCTAATTTGCTGTTGTCGATAAGAGTCCAGANTGAACACTAAAAGTGATACTTTTGTTCCATTCTGGTAAACTTCCGTCTTAATTTGATTTAATTCAATTACATTAAATTGAAAACCTGTTCAAAACACAAGCATCCGTTTATGTTTAAACAGGTAAACTAGTGAAATTTACATAGTCCGGGCCTAAAGAGAGTTCCCGGATCTAAAGAGGGCTTTTGAAGTAAATTGACCATTAGCGCGCGCGAGCTTGAGTCACTTTGCTTCTGAGACTGGTCGTTTCCTCGCTTTTCTCTACTTACATTTTTAAAACCCTTACATGTAATTATAGAGAGGTTAATTCGCCCACTTGGCTAGAAAAAAACAGTATTTTTTCAGCCGTGCATTTGCTCTGAGCACGGAAATCTAGTGGAGAAATCGAGGTCATGCCGTAACAGTGTTTACACTGAATACTGTAATAAAAATGATGTAGCCAACGACTCAGTGTTGTTTACCAAAACGCAGAACATAATGCCCCCACGAAGCAAGGTCATTTGTTGAGCGGCTTACGGTTGATATTCATTTTAAACTTTTGTTATTTACGTAGCGATGGCAGAGCACGAAATAATGACGTCAATTTGCGCCCATAGGCTAACAGCTGGCTTGTTGGCATTACTGGCCTAGGCGGTCGAATCCATCTGGGTAAAGCAAATTCAGTTTAATTCTTTTTGTCTACAATTTGATGATTGCCTGCTCTTAAAAGAGTAGAGAAAGTTATCGGAGAAATGTGTTTGAACAAAAAAAAAAAAAACAGAAACCCGGATTAAAATTTAACCCCGGGTTAGCGCTAATCGGCCTTCGAGCAACCGGGCCCAGACTGATTTACTCTTGGCTACAAAAAAAATACAGAAAATATAGCAGACAGAATGCAAACAGAGAGTGAAGAAGGATTGAAAATTTACCATTGCCGAGAGAAAAACATATTTTTACCACAATTGCTACTAATCTCGCAATCTGATTGGCTAATTTGCTGTTGTCGATAAGAGTCCAGANAAGAACAATGCTGATCAACTGAGTAGCCAACTCTCGACATCCGTGTAATTCCCGTAAAATTTGTCTCTTTTGATTGCATACCTGTCATAGGCTGTCAATCAAAAGGGAAACTCTGCCAATTTTTAGTATTTTTCAATATATGTATATTTTTTAAAAAGTAGAGATCACACTTCGACCATTACTTTGATTCAAAAATCCAAATGTAAAGAAAACTGCCAATCTGAAAGTATAAACTAGCGTAACAAAATTCCCAGGTCAAATAGTGCTTTTAGTTAACTTCTTAGCTTAAAAATGTGATTGTTTTGAGGTCTGTTTGTGATATAAGTTCTTAAAACGTACCTTTGAGCCGTCAATTTTCATGACCAGCGTCCATCCTCCGCCTCCACAATCACCAAGGTCATCACCATCCATGTAGCAGTAGACAGGAAGCTTCTTGTAACCAAACTCGAGCATGTATGCCTTGTTTTCGGTTGGCCTTGAAAATCAAAGCGAATCAAAAAATGTTTCAGTTTTTATAATTATAGCCAAATGAATGAAATACAAACTGGCTCGCAACGTGTTTTAGCATATTTCAGTTCTTTGATGAATCATTGCTACGGTTTTTGAAAGTTGATACCAAATAACTCAAGACCTTCCTTTTTTACTAAATTTATTAAGAATAACTCTTTATCATAGGTATTTGGTATTTTCCTATTTTTTTTTTAGTTTTTAAGTTTTTTTAGAGTAAAATTGTAGTTTTTAGGGATAGTTTTTTTAAAGCGCCTCGGGCAAATAATGGCTCTGTGCGCCATGTAAATGAATTGTTATCATTATTATTACTATTATTATTATTATTATTATTATTATGTTATCAAAAAATTGCC